ATTCGTAAAGATCAAAGGAAATGCCCCGTGTGCTCTGTATGTTCCGCCCCGCCCCCCCCCCTCACCACTTTGCCGACAGCGTCCTTGGCCTTGTCCAGCTCCCGTCGTGCTCGGTCAATCAGGTCCTCGGCGTCTCTGACTCGGTTCCGAGCCCGGTCGGCCTGAACGCTGCTCTCCTCCACCGTGCTGCGGATGTTCTGCAGTCGGTTCCACTGCGTTGTCAGGGTACCGTTGATGGCGTTCAGGCGCTCCAGCAGCCCCCGGTCCACATCTGCTCAAATCAAACAATGGTTGCGTAACTCTGACTTCCTGTGATGTCATCAGCTGCACAGCCACATACAGAAGCTCCTCCAGAAAAGTTGGGTTTTTATTCTTGGTCTATGCCGCACCCCCACACCTCCACTTCTGCTCTGATGACATCATCAAAGCTGTGGGATTGTTCCTTTACCTCTGCTCGTCTCCGCCTCCTCCAGCAGCTCCAGGATGGCTCGCTCCGCCTCCTTCAGTCGATCCTCGAAGGCGGCGTCAGTGACGGTCTCCTGACCGGAGCCCAGGTTATCGATGAGCGTCTGAAGATCATGAAGTTTCTGCCTCTGCTGGTTCACCTGCGCACACGCACACACACACACACACACACACACACAGTTCAGGCTATCCCCTCACTCAAAGACAGAGGGCGCTGTTTGTGGCCCCGCCCTCACCTTGTCTCTGACCAGACTGTAACAGGAAGGACACTGCTGACATCCTGGGACTGTGCGGTTGTAGAAGTAGTTCTCCTCACACATGTCACAGCGAGAGCCCACGAAGCCGGGCCGACACTCGCAGCGTCCGTCCTCCCTGCACTGACCCGACGCGGCACCCTCCGGGTCACAGTCGCAGGCTGCAGGTGACGGACAAACAAAACGACGGGTCATCCTACAGATGTTAACCGACCTCCGCAGATGGACAGAAATCAAAAGTCAAGTTTTTACGTTTGCAGCCGGACGAACTGAAGCCGAAGAAGTTGACCTCGCAGCGGTCACAGTGTAGGCCGCTGACCCCGGGTTGACACTCACACTGACCCGTGATGATGTCACACTGACCATCAGTGGAGCCAATTGGATTACAGTTACACCTGAGAGAGAGAACAAGTCTGAACAAGTCTACATCTGCACCATTAGACAGAAGAACCTCCACCAAACCTCACTGAGAAAATCAGAGATTTTAGTTCAGACCAAAGTCCATGGAGAAAATCAGAGATTTTAGTTCAGACCAAAGTCCATGGAGAAAATCAGAGATTTTAGTTCAGCAGTGGATCAACGACTGCTGACCTCACTGATGTTCACAGTGAGGTCAGTGTGTGGTTTCAAACAGTGGACTTTTTGACTCCACCCTTCAGTTGTTGGGACTGACCGTTCGCAGCCTTTGCTGCTCTGAATGTTGAAGAATCCTGGTTCACAGACGCTGCAGTCTCGCTGGGCCACGTTAGGAAGACACTGACACTGACCTGTGACCTGAGAACAGCCGGAGGCACCAGCAACAGTACCAAAGACTGAACAGGAACAGGCTGAGAGACACACACACACACACACACACACACAGAGGTTACATTCATTTTTTTTTCTCAAAGCATGAACAGTTGTGATGTAATTTCTAAATGTGGCCACTAGGTGACGACCAAGTGAAGCTCAAAGCAGCAGCTGAACCAGGTGAACTAGGTCTAAGTTAATCAGGTCAGTCAGCAGAGCTGGATTAGTTCATCCAGGTGCAGATTTACTGATGACGGGGAGGGGGCGCTCTAACCTTTGCACTTGTGGGTGGGGTCTGTGGACAAAGCGTTGCCATAGAAACCCTCCCTGCAGCGGTCACAGAAGAATCCGTCCGTGTTGTAGATGCACTTCAGACACTCGCCCGTCTCACGGTTGCAGTTTCCCACGGCGTTGGGGTCGATGTTGTCGCTGCACTTACAGACCCGACAGGTCCTGACCGGACCGCTCTGACCCAGCGGGTCGCCAAAGAAGCCGTCGTCACACAGCTCGCAGCGTTTACCTGTGGCGGTGGTGCGGCGGCGTTAGCGGGACAGGAAATGCTGGGTTTGAGGGGTGACTGTGCGGGGCAGTGGTGGTACCTGTGGTTCCTGCGGGGCAGTTGGTGCAGACCACCTCCCGGGTCTTAGGGACCAGGGCACAGGTGGCACCGACGGGGCAGGGACAGGGGTGACAGTCCTCCGGTGTCCCCTGGGTGGCGTCGCCGTAGAAACCCTCTTTACAGCGTTCGCAGCTCAAACCTGCCGTGTCATGCTGACAGTCGCACGCCCCTGTGGGGAGAGAGAGAGAGAATCAGAACCCAAACCATAACCAGTCATAACCAGTTGATCCAGAATTCTCACTGGTTAACGCAGGTCCAGTTACCCAGGTTGGACCACCTTAATTAATCCAGGATAAACTAAAAGTGCTTCAGTTAGTCCAGTCACCCTGACCCTGACCCTGACCCCGACCCCGGCCCGGTTGGATCACCTGACTCTGGACCGCAGCTCTCACTGTGTCCGTTACAGTTGCAGGGTTCACAGGAACTGAAGGCTCCCAGCTCAGGGTGGCTGCGCCGATATCCCAGAGTGCACTGCTCACAGTGTTGACCCTGGTATCCCTGGGGACAGGTGCACCGCTCCACCCAGTGGGCGGGGTCGCCATGGCCACGTCTCGCCGTCACCATTGACACATCGTCCAGGTAACCAGCACCTGAACACAAACACACGTTACAAACCACTTCCTGTTCCTCCAGTTTTTACCCCAAGAACTGAAGTCCAGTCCAGTCCAGTCCGGTATGGTCCGGTCCGGTCCAGTCCAGTCCGGTCCGGTCCAGTCCAGTCCGGTCCCGCCCGGTCCAGTCCAGTCCGGTCCAGTCCGGTCCAGTCCGGTCCAGTCCGGTCCAGTCCAGGTCCTGGGTCTACGTGACGTGTCATTTCCTGTCCAGTTTCTCACTTTTCTCGCTGTAGGTCCCTCGAACCTTGATGGCTGTCAGGTTGTGGAGAAGTTTCTGAAAGTCCGAGTGGCTGACGGTGGGTCTCCAGGGGTAATCGGTGCTGTCGTGGAGCCTAGACCAGAACCAGAACCAGAACCAGAGAGAGGGGGTGAACACCTGATCCACCTGATTCTGATAAACGATGACATCATCACAGCGTCTGACCTGAACACATAGGTCTGCATGTTCTCGTTGGGGTAGGCGTTGCCCTGGGCGATGAGGGGCACGGCCACCCTCAGGCCCGCTCCCTCCAGAACCAGGTCCTCCGCTGACAGACGGGTGTCACGCCGGTCCACCCGGAACCTCATGGTGAGGTTCTGAGCGTAACTCAGGATCTGGTTTCCCAGAAACTTTTCTGTGGCGAGAAGGTGACACGGGATCACATGACCCTCCGTCCACCCGTAGGAGTGCGTGCACGTGAGTGCGTGCACGTGAGTGTGTGCACGTGAGCTTACCTGGAGCTACGAAGTACAGGGGGAGGTAGTTGTCAGAGATGAGGGAGATCTGCTGCTCAGCGGAGGTCCACTGGACCGGGACGCTGGATCCATCCCGCTGTTGACCAGTCCACGCTTCGTCACCTAACAGAGACACCACCGTACAGGACATCAGCGCAAACTGACCACAGGGGGCAGCAGAGGACCAGGACATCTCTACTCATGTTCAATACGCAACAACACTCTGAGCAATTCTGCATTCAGCCTGCAGGGGGCAGCATGCTCTGACCTGTGTTGAAGGAGGAGGTGATGGTGTGGAGGCTGAAGCCCTCCGCCCGCTCACAGACGGAGGAGTGCTGGAAACAGAAGCAGGCGGTGCAGCCCTGAGGGTTACTGGAGTCCAGGTTGAAGAAGCCCAGTTTACACCTGAGCAGAACCCAACAGAACAAACACCAGGTCAGAGGTCACGGCTCACACACCAGCCGTTCACTCTTCACACTTCATGACTTTAAAGGTTCAGTCTGCACTTTTCCTCCTTTAACGTTGCTCTCTTTCCTATGGCCTGTAGGTGGAGCTACATTCTGAGACATCGAAGACATCAGCGTAACCCTGTAACAGTAACGACTGTTACAGGGTTACGCTGATGTCTTATTTTGGTCATGTTGAATCAGCGCTCACTGTTGAACCCTTCATCCGTTCCTGCCCACGTGACACTGGGTTTTATTTTGAAAGAGACTCCTCCTTCCTTCCTGTTCTGTTCACCTGTCACAGCTGAATCCTTCCACGTTGTCTTTGCAACGACACTGTCCTGTGTGGACGTCACACTCCTGAGTGCTGCCAGAGGGCGAGCAAGAGCAGGGCCTGACAGAGAGAGAGAGAGAGAGAGAGAGAGAGAGAGGGGTCAGTTGGTCAGCCTGACAGCAGGGGGCAGTCACATGAAACAGTTCCCATCAGTGACCGTCTGTGGTTCAACGAAGATCAGTTCAAATGAAATAAAGAAACTAAAACTGAGGCCGACAATAACCTGCCCTGCGGCTGCTCTGATTGGTCCGTTAGTTTTATTCCATTTGTTTTCTAAAGTTTATTTAATCTCTTACAATGTTTTGTTTGAGTGGTGCCCTCTGCTGGGGTCCAGAGAAATGACTCCAGTTTTACCACTGCTGTTAGTGTGTGTGTGTGTGTGTGTGTGTGTGTGTGTGTGTGTGTGTGTGTGGTACCTGCAGCCGGCCTCCGTCAGACTGTGGTATCCTGGTTGGCAGCGGTCACACTTTTCTCCTGTTACTCCTGGTTTACAAACACACATTCCTCTGGGATCACACTGAGGAGAGAGAGAACCTGGAACACACACACACACACACACACACACACACACCATAAGCATCATTTATGTATTTCACCACCAGGTGGCACCACCCACCCTCAGGTGACATTCCTAGAATGTCTGATCCTGATCAGCCAATCAGAGGCTGGCGTTCAAACAGCCCAATGGTTTCGGTGACATCAGTCATGTTTACAATGACCTTTGACCTCCCGCGGTGCGACACACTGACCTGTGCTGCTGCAGCCACAGGGCAGACAGCGGGTGGCGCTCTCCTCTCTGTAGTGATGCTCTCTGCAGCGCTCACACTGAGGGCCGTCAAAGTTGTCGTGGCAACCGCTGCAGTGACCTCCGTGACCTGTGGCCCGGTACAGCTCCGGGTCAAAGTAACACTCCGAGCTCTTCCCGTTACACTGGCAGGCTGAGGGCGGAGGAACAGGACGCAGCAGTCAGAGGGTGGAGTACTGATGTGGAGTACTGATGGAGTACTGATGTGGTACTGATGTGGTACTGATGTGGTACTGATGTGGTACTGATGGAGTACTGATGGAGTACTGATGTGGTACTGATGGAGTACTGATGTGGTACTGATGGAGTACTGATGTGGTACTGATGTGGAGTACTGATGTGGTACTGATGTGGAGTACTGATGTGGAGTACTGATGTGGTACTGATGTGGAGTACTGATGTGGTACTGATGTGGTACTGATGTGGTACTGATGTGGTACTGATGGAGTACTGATGTGGAGTACTGATGTGGAGTACTGATGGAGTACTGATTTGGTACTGATGTGGTAGAGGTGTAGTACTGATGTGGTAGAGGTGTAGTACTGATGTGGTAGAGGTGTAGTACTGGTGTAGTAGAGGTGAAGTACTGATGGAGTAGAGGTGTAGTACTGCTGTACTACAGTCTTACCCAAACACTCGTTGGCGTTGTCAGCCGTTGCCCTCCTCCAGGGTCGGTCGTTATAAAATGGTTTACAGACGCTGCAGTCGGCGCCCTCTGTGTTGTGTTTACAGTTACACACCAGTTGTCCAGCAGGGGTCTTCACACACTCACTGGCATGGCCGTTACACTTGCACCTGAAAACACACACACACACACACACGTGTCTCAGGTTCAACTCCCTGCTGTCACAGACAGGAAACACACACACACACACACTGTTGCCATAGTAACAGTGCCCCCCAGTGGCCCCTCCTCCTGGTGTTCTCAATGTAATCAAAGCTGCCTGTCTGGAATGTTGGGAATGTCAAGTGTGTCATAGTGAAGTACACACTGGGACCCACAGGAACCAGAACTGAACTGAACCAGAACTGAACCAGAGTGGGGTTATGGTTCCCGTTTTTCTTGAGAAAGGAAGAACAGAAAAGTTCTGAAAACATGTTTGAATCATTGTCTCCATCCACACCAACACACACACACACACACACACACAAGGACAATGACCATGTGAGGGGTCATGTGACCTCTGGTCTCACCTTCCACCAACAGCAAAGTCAGAGATGGCGTAGTAGTAGGACTTGAGGACTTTAGGGTCGTTGAAAACCTCGTCTCCAAAAGTGTTGAGTCGATTCAGAGTCACTTTGATGTCAGTGGCCGTCACCCAGTCCTGGAGGAAGAGGAGGAACATCATCATCACCACCACCATCATCATCATCATCACCACCATCATCAATAAAAACTGCTGCTCAGGCAGAGACTCGTGAGAAAAAGATTTCATCATCAGTTTATCAGCAGCAGAGACACAAACAGCTGGACCTGATGGGAACTGGACTGAAACCTGAGTCTGAGTCTGGAACGAACAACAGGACAGAGAACATGTGGAGGTTCACACCAAACCTCATGGAGAAAATCAGAGATTTTAGTTCAGACCAAAGTCCATGGAGAAAATCAGAGATTTTAGTTCAGACCAAAGTCCATGGAGAAAATCAGAGATTTTAGTTCAGACCAAACCTCATGGAGAAAATCAGAGATTTTATTTCAGACCAAAGTCCATGGAGAAAATCAGAGATTTTAGTTCAGACCAAAGTCCATGGAAAAAATCAGAGATTTTAGTTCACACCAAACCTCATGGAGAAAATCAGAGATTTTATTTCAGACCAAAGTCCATGGAGAAAACCTGTGGACAGCAGTCAATGATTTACCATCAAATAATGAACAGTTCTTCTACACTGCTGAAGCTTTAGAGCAGCATCTTCGTCACCTCATGGCTTCACTCTCCTCTTCCTGTTAACCACAGTATGCGAGGTATGCAGCGGGGAGGGCGTGGGGGGTTAAAATATAACTCTTTATCATCTGCTGCAGGGTTGATGATTGACAGGAAATGAAAATCTCTCCACATTTTCACACATTGAGCAACAGCAGAGTAGCAGCTGTTCCATGTTCACCAAGCTGCACTGAGCAACAGCAGCTCCACATCTGTGACAGCTCGTGAACTTCTCCTCACTGACACCACATCCCCTGCTGGTCAGTCTATGAACAGCATGCAAAAACACAACCGGTGGAGCTGAGCTGCAGCAGCTGCTTCATCTGATAAATCCACCGTTTTCACAGTGGGATTTGGTGGAGAAACTACAGCTGTTTCTGAAACTCACGGCCGGGAATCAAGACCAAACCAGCTGTGGTCCTTCATGTCCTCACCCGTCATTGGACCAGAACATATTTGTTGTGGTGTTTTAGTAAAGATGGTGGCGTCTCCCACCGTGGCTGACCACGCTCAGTAAACAAACACCAGAAACTGTAAAGACTGACCAGCGGAGGCAGCAGCGCAGCAGCAGTTCCTGTGAGAGAGTTAAAATCCCTCATTTTCTCTATGGACTTTTGTATGGGGAGAGTGAGTGGTTTTCAAACACCAGGCGAGATTGTGAAGCTGATGGAGACTTTATTCTGCATGAGGATTAAACTGTGCTCTCAACGGCCCCCCCCGGTGGCAGACACACGTCCACACTGTCTGGACACAGGGTTTTTTTGGTCTCTGAGGACCAGGGACGGTCAACCAGAAATAAACCTCAGCTGTTTCTACAGAGGAACTGGAGCAGCCCCCCCCCAACAGACCTAACCCCCCCAACAGACCTAACCCCCC